ATGACCGGACATTGGAGTGTCGCTGTAGCCGAGAACGGCCGGCGACGGGTTAGTGGCGGGTTTTCCCTCGGACGTGACATTTCAACTGGGTGAAAGAAAACCTCAAAATCCTCGGAGTACAAGTCGGAAAAATCATAAAATATCAGTAGGACCCGAAAATCGAAAAGTCCGTAAAGCCTCCTACAAGTGGAGCAATTAAAACCTATCAATACTGGGTAAAGCAAAAATTGCGAATTTCATGCTGCTAAGCCCAATGTGGATTTGCTTTATACGCAACCACTCTAAAAAAAGTCACTCAACAAGGTAACAGAATAACAACAACATATATTTGGTCATCCAAATATGAGCAATCAGGAGATACACGCTATACAACAGTTTTGAGAAAGGGGGGATTGGACTGAAGAAGATATGTTTAAAAGCATTTATCTACCGTATAAATATAATAAAAAATATTCACAGTCATCCTGCATGGGCATGCTTAGCAAAAGCCTATCTACAGATTAACANATCCTCGGAGTACAAGTCGGAAAAAACATAAAATATCAGTGGGACACGAAAATCGAAAAAGTCCTTAAAGCCTCCTACAAGTGGAGCAACCAAAACCTATCAATACTGGGTAAAGCAAAAATTGCGAATCTCATGCTGCTAAGCCCAATGTGGTATTTGCTCTATACACAACTACTCCCAAAAAAGTCACTCAACAAGGTAACAGAGTAACAGCAACATATATTTGGTCATCCAAATATGAGCCAATCAGGAGATACACGCTATACAACAGTGTTGAGAATGGGGGAATTGGACTGAAGGAGATATCTTTAAAAGCATTTATCTACCGTATAAATATAATAAAAAATAGTCACAGTCATCCTGCATGGGCATGCTTAGCAAAAGCCTACCTACAGATCAACATCCCCAACATAGTAGTGTCGTCAGCGAAAATTACAGACCAGTCGAAGCCGCCAGCAATCCTACAGGAGGTAATACGGTGCTACAAAGTATTAAAAGAACACTTATCTGATGAAGAAATATTGTCATCAAAACCTGACGAATTATACAACAAGCTTGTTGATATCTACGTTCCAAAACCCCAAAACAGAATAGCACCAGCCAACATCCTAAACAAAAGCATAATAAAAACCTTATCGAAACTAAGAATAAACAACAATGCGAAAACAATCTTCTGGCGCATGCATCATAATTGTCTCCCTACAAATACATGGAAACAAAACAAAAAGTTAATATCCACGGATAAATGCCCCGTATGCCAATTACCAGAAACTCTTAACCATGCCTTCCTCCAATGCGAACATACGAAAAAAGTATGGGAATTCCTAGAAAAATTCAACAATATTCAAAAACCATGTAACGAAAATGAACTCAAATGGCTTCATAATATACATAACAAAGAGGTAAATTACGCTATCTTAATAACAGCATTCGAAGCTATCTGGAGAAGCAGAAACACAGCGTATTTCCGAAAAATCAACGATATAACGACAATCACGAAATTCAAGTTCCACTTACAAAGACTACTGGAAACGATAAATAATAGTAAAAAAAATCTAAATACGAAAAAAATCAACAACTGGGAAAAAACAGGAATGATTCAAGTCTCCAAAGACGAAAACTACCAAATAACGCTACAGATTGTAAACGACGAAATGTTGCATCGCAACCTTTCCATATAGCCTGTTTAATCCACTTTCACATCGTACTGTACATCATAAAAACAAAATTGTAAATCAGTACCGAAAAAATTATATGGATATAAAAATATTATATAATACAAAGAAAAAACTATGTAATATGCATCAATCCACGCTAATAATTGAATGAAACACTGTACGTAATATTCTTTTGTAAATAAAAGTATTTAAAAAAAAAAAAAAATACCACCAGTGGCCAAGCGGTCTTCGTACCCTAAACAATGGGAGTTCGGTCGTGGGTTCTCGCCTCGCTCAGACGGGCTGGTCTCGTGAAATTTTCCACGTCTGTAACGCCTAAATAGGGGCAAGTTTCCCTTAAAAATACCTCCCGGAAGGCATCCCCTCTAGGCATATCGCTCAAGTGTTGCGTTGCCATAACTTAACAAACAGAAAGGTCCAGGGAGTGGGGAGATAAGAGAGGGTCGTATATCCATGTCCCGAGAGGGGTAGGACTTAATGAAAATTTTATTCCTTATTAACATTCACACTTTTTTTATAAAACTCGCCGCTACTCTCAAAATTAAGCTTTTTGTCATTTTATAGTAATTAAAAATATAAAAGTTTTTATAACAAAACCTGATAACAGATGGCGCCAAACAATTTTCTTTGTTAAATGTTATAAAAGTTTTTTTAAATAAAAACTCACAAGAACCGGGAAAGTTACTTAACTCTCGTTGCTAGATTTTTTTTCATTTTGTACTCGCCTTAATGTCTGATTTAGTAGCTGCATAGGAATAAAGTATCTAAACCGCAGAACCTATAATTAACTTTGAAAAATTGACCTGTAATATCGCTATGACCTACTTGCTATGCCAATATCTGAGTCCAGCAATGACTGCCAAGGTGCCGAAACTGTAGAATGTGGCATCCTTCGCTGTCACAAGACGCAAAACATTTTGAAAATATACAAAATCAAAAGATGTTGACGTGATAACATTAGCATTGTAGTTTATAAAGATTTGTGTTATGTTGCAGTAATTAAGTGAATATAATATATATACATTTAAAATTATATCCTTTTTGTAAGAATTATACAGTACTGTATTTAGTTTATTTTTTTTTTAATTTTTTGCCAACAGATGATGCTACATGTAAAGCCAGCAAATCGAATGTACTGTACAGTACAGTAGATGGAAATTAATTGATTTATAGAAATGAAATTGATAGTTTGGGGTGGGATGTACGACATTACTAAGTTAGAAGTATGCGAACATAACGGCCGAGTTTTTTGACGAGGCTATGTCTCGTCTATAAAATCACACTGCTGTCAACGGCTGGACATCTTAGAGGTATGAAGGAGTACATGTCAGGAGTTGCAATTTGGCACAGAGTATTTAGTGCCCAAATCATGCGCGCACAAGAAAAAAAAACAGACTTGTAGGCAGTCTTGTGGCCACAAAAGCGACTTTTCGAGGGACGTAGGGACGTATCGGCGGCCGCAAACGAATCAACCAAAACTAGCGACTTTTGAAATTTATTTATTTATTTTTGAGAAATATAAATTTATTTTTATAGTTTTCAAATTTACAGATTTTTCTCTACTTTATAACGCTCTCTGGCAACGACTAATATTATTGCGATAGGCAAAACTGTATTTCTAGATTTTTCTACAGTGTGTAGAGCTAGGAACCTGTAAAAGTAACATTTTATAACAAAAATAAAACTACCCGGGAAATTTTTCAAATTGCTAAATTGGAAACGTGGTAACTCCCGAATAAAATTTTAGTCCGAATGTTATTAAAGGTGTGCAGAAATTCTATGATATCATTTTCTGCTTTATAGTCGTACGCATAAGTGCTGTCTACTTCAGTTGCATTGTCTGAATCAAAGAAATGTCTTGCACATTTCCGAATGTTGAAATATTATGGAAAATTTTTTAAACAATTTCCACATCTAATGAGTCAGGAGAAAGATCGTTTTCTGTTTTAAAGCGGGTAAAAATTATTTAAGGAGTACTATGGGAGACAAAAGATTAAATAATATGGCCATTAGGTACTGTATATAGAGCAAAAAATTTTAATCGAATTGATACTGCCAAAATAATTGACGAATTTGCAAAAAATAAAACAAGACGGTTTGTTAAGTTACGGCAACTCAACACTTGGGCGACCTGCCTAGGGAAATGCTTTCCGGGGTCTTTTTAAGGGTAACTGGCCTCTACTCAAGCATTACAGATGAGGAGAAAACCCGGAAAACGGTCGTGGTTCGCGCTTTGCCGGAACGTGGCCAGGAACGTTCAAGGAACAGAACTGCTTGGCCACTGGTGGGCCGTAAAAAAAGACGGCAATTCATGTAAAAAATATGTTTTTTTTTAATAAATTTATTTAATGTGTTAAGCATGAAATTTTTGATTAAGTTATTAATATAAAAGAAAATTAATGAGAATTATCTTGAAACTTTTTTTCTAACTTAAGTTCGAGGGCCCCGAAATTTTTACCGCTTGGGGCCCCCACGTGACTTGATCAAATACTGGTATTCCTATGTGATATTTTCTTTTATTTTTTCAAAAGTGTTACTTTTTGTTATAATTCTGCTGAATTAGCAACACGAAGTTTAAATAAGTGATTTTCATTTAGTAACTGATATTTAACCTGTTTAAAAAGTTACATCTTAAAATAATAAGTCTCAGCAAAACACAATGGCTAGTATTATCAACATGTCTAGATCGTATAATAGATCAATGGGATGTATTTGAAGTTTTTCGAGTCGCAGAATTTGAATATAAAATCAATGTCAGTTTATTTTTAATCAAATGCAGAATCCGTATGTTAACTCCCTTGCGATTTTCCAATTTTTGATATTAATATAATTAAACATAAAAAATATTTAAAACTGAAAAAAACCAAAGAAATGCGTTAATTTTGAAGAAAAAGCTTCAAACTTTATTTTTTATTGTCTCCCCTTTCTGTGAAATCTGACACCGATGAGTCCTTGTTTACACAGCTGGATGATCTTGAGAACATCTGGTGTCGGATTTCCCGGGACATTCTCATAGAAGTCTCAGGAGGAGAAGGGTTTATAGTAGGGTGAATACTAGCTGGCCGTATATTTTTAAAAAATTAAAATTTTTATTGCGATTTCCGACCCTCCGACTTAATTAAACTTATATATAATAAAATATATTAATTTGAAAAATTAAAAACTATTGGAGGTCGTTTTTGACATCAGAAACTAGCTTTAAATAACTTTATCGAAGTAAAATCCGTGCACTACAACTTTAGAACGATTAATTAAATTTGATTTTAAAAATCACATTAAAAAACAATTAAGCGTTAATCGTGCGTCATTAAAGGTAAATTAAAATCGCGATAAAATTTTTTTGCGCGGGTAAAAATTTTTGAAAAAAATTTGAAGACCTAAAAAACATCCAAAAATCCAAAAAAACATTTTAGAGGTCCAAACGCCCGTGTTTTATGTAACGCTATGGAACTTGCCCGAGTTATCTCGGGATAAGTTATATAAAATTATATAATTATATAAATTATTAAAGCTTGTCTATTATTTTAAATTATATATTACCTTTATTCAATGAGTTTAATGCTTCTTCCATTCCGAAAAATCTTTAATATCTAATCTTTACATAGAAAGTGTTCGTTTTATTAAATTGTTAGCCTCTAATTTTATCAAACCAAAAGTATTATCGGCTTATGATGATAATATTGAAACTCAATGTATGTAAATAGATGCTTAGTTAAGAAAACAAGAGCATATATTTTTTTCTAGCTAGAAATTTTTGGGCCATTATTCTGTTCCTAAAAATATGCATGATGCTTATAACACCAATGATGACAAAGAATGTTTTTTAAATAAGTTTATTGTAGGAACTATTTTAACTTACAATTCTTAATAATTCTAATATAGGCATTCTTAACCTTTCATGAGATACATTTGATCAATTTGATATACCATGTACAGTATATTTTGAATTTTTATTTCTTAATGGGAAATTGTAGCCATTTCTACTTTCCAGTAGCATCATTTTTATTCCTGATGGTGACATTCTTAAAATTTTAATCATTTTTACAATCATTTTCATATATTATGCTTCGTCCCACTATATATTGAAAATTTAAAATATAGGGGAGGGTGGGGATGAAAGGGACAAAATTCATACTGTTATTTTTCACTGAAAAAGTTTACTTCTAATCAGTTTTATTTTTAGTGCAAAAGATTCATTAGACCTCTACTTTATTCTGACCATATTGTGAATTCATCCTATTATANAGGGTGGGGATGAAAGGGACAAAATTCATACTGTTATTTTTCACTGAAAAAGTTTACTTCTAATCAGTTTTATTTTTAGTGCAAAAGATTCATTAGACCTCTACTTTATTCTGACCATATTGTGAATTCATCCTATTATATTGGTAGTTTAACATGTTCATATTTTTGAAGACCTCTCCAGGTGTCCCTTTTATTCCTACATCTGGGTTGAAAGGGACTCCCTCGGGGATGAAAGGGACTACCCGAGTTTTAATGTAAAACTTGGAATTAGTTATCTCAGTGTTTTCAAATTTCATTGTAATTGAAAAGTGATAGGCTAGAGCAGTGATTCCCAACCTGTGGTACACGTACCCCTAGGGGTACGCGATAGGTTGTTTAGGGGTACAGAAAAAAGTTAGTTATTATGGCAGAAAAAATAATATATTATGTATCACAAACTAATAGTATTAAAAAATTATTAGGTAAAATATGTTCCTTGCAACAATCACAACTTCATTATACATTTTTTCTTTTAGGTTTTTTTTCTTTAATTTAAAGTTACAATATGTAAAATTAACAATACGGTTACTCACTAAATTTCTTAAATGAGGGGTACAATCTAGAGATATGACATGTCAAGGGGTACAATCTAGAAATATGACATGTCACGGGGTACGCTAATGAAAAAAGGTTGGGAACCACTGGGCTAGAGACTAAAATTTTTAAAAATTACAGTTTTAATAATATGAATTTTGTGACATCACAATTATTTTAAACAGTTAAAGATTATCAATATTTCTAAAACAAAGAATATCAAATATTTTCAAACAAAGAACAATAGCTAAAGAATATCACAATCAGTAGGCTATCACATAAACTGTCTTTCTTTGGTCAATAGAATGTTTTTCGCAATTTATCTCAGCTTGATATGAGGTGAAATCGATGGGAAATGTAATGTTTGCTTGCTCTTGCCGTTCCTCCTGCTTGGGATGGATGGGATAGTTTTAAAACTATATTTTCCATGGTGACATCACTGATATCATCCTCCTCAGGAAATATAAACCTGAAACATCTCAATATTTTTCCATAAACTTGACTTTCAAGTCTTCATCACTCAGTTTTTTCAAAACTTTTCCCACGAAGTAAACAACAGAAGTTTTTTTTTGCAGATCTGACTAAAACGCAGTGGCGTACCGTGGGTGTCAGCCGCCCGGGCGGAGGAAAATTTCGGCCGCCCTTATTTAAGTACAGTATTTCGATTTAAAAGACCAAAATTCAGTTTTCTCACAGAACAAGCAATGAAAAATTTGGTGCTAGTGCAGCGACCTGTTTAAAATAGTTCTATTGGATATTAGTGGTGTATATGAACGCGAATGAATCGTACAAGCAAAAAAAAAGGTCAACAGGTTTCGCAGGATTTCCTCGGATGAAAAATTTACTAGTTTACCCGGACGGCGAGCCGATTCCCGGACTGTCCGGACGATAGCACTATCGTAGGCGCGATGCAAGTATAGATTAGGATGTTTCAAATTTTACAAGATATTATTATTATTTATTGTAAAATTTTGTCGCTCCCTAAAAAGTGCCGCCCCCACTACGGTACGCCACTGCTAAAACGAAATCATTGGGCTGAACATGTTTGACAGTGTTTTCGATATCAGATCCCTCATTCGATGTTGCATCAGATGTTGAGGAAGAGATGCTTTGAGATCCTTCATCTTCACTTTCAGTTTCTTCTGGAATATGTTGCAACAGCTGCTTTTTAGATTTTGTCCTCATTGATGATGCTTGCATTAAATACGATGTTAATTCTGTCTCCTGCTCTGTAGTAAAAACTTTCCTGTTACCCACATGCAGTGAATACACTACATTGTCTTTTTTATATTTTGAAACGAGTTTAGCCAAATGCGATTTTGCAAATCCGTGGGCACTGGCTGTAGCCTGTTGATGCTTCTTTTTCGACAACTTCAATTATTGCCCCTTGAATCACTTCTGGCGTCACATACTTTCGAGGCATTTTTTTTCTATTAAAAAAATTTAGCATTAGAACATTCCAAAAAAATGTCAATATGGGGTTGAAAGGGACATGTTCCATTCATTCCCTATTTTACTGTCCCTTTCAACCCCCAGGCCTCAAACAACCAAAACTACAACTTAACTTTCTGACAGTAAACTATAATTTAAAACTGATTAAATAAACATATTCTAGAGATTTCAAAGTAATTATTCCGATTTAAATTAATTAAGTACATTATCCAATGACCAGTGGCGGCCTTAGGGGGTGGCGAGCAGGGCAATGGCCCGGGGCCTCGCTCTTGGAGGGGCCTCGCGCAACAACCAAGTAGAAAAAAGTTGATATTTAAAACTTTTTATTTTATCCTTGGCTATTAGTTATAACAATAAAATAAATTTAATTTATAATACAGTATATATTAATATTAATAAGTGCCTACTATTTCAATTCACATACTTTGCACAAAGGACAAGGGCCTCGCAAAGATCTGCCGCCCAGAGCCTCGCAATGGATAAGGCCGCCGCTGC